AGCGTGGTAGTTACCTGATCAAATTTGTATTGCATGATGTGTTTTAGTTACCTCCTATAATTCTCCAATGTGCCACCAACTTTGATATAGAGTCAGGTCTGTTTGGGCCAGTTTCTTTTAAAATTTTTGGGATGGCATTTGTTAAAATTTAATTAATTAATATAAAATATTTTTATAGTTCCAAAGTCAAAACTGAAAAAGAGGGTACATTCAGAGAGGTCCAATTTCTTAAAAAAATTTTTTTAAAAATTATCTTTACTTCTGACTTTATTTTTTTGAGATATGGTCTTGCTTTGTCTCCCAGGCTGGACGGCAGTGGCACAATCTCAGCTCACTGCGCACTCTGCCTTCTGAGTTCAAGTGATTCTCATTCCTCAACCTCCTGAGTAGCTGGGATCACAGGCATGTGACACTACATCAGGCTAATTTTTGTATTTTTAGTAGAGACAGGGTTTCGTCATGTTGGCCAGGTTGGTCTTGAACTCCTGGCTTCAAGTGATCCACCTGCCTCAGCCTCCCAAAATGCTGAGATTACAGGCATGAGCCACTGTGCCTGGCCACAAGCTAAGTTTTGTAGAGATGGGGATTTGCCCAGGCAGGTGTCAAACTCTTAGGCTCAAGCTATCTGTCTGCGTTGGCCTCCCAAAGTGCTGGAATTACAAGTGTGAACCACCACACCTGACCTACTTATATGTCTTTTCTTGTGATGAAAATCTTAGTTTCTAGGGATAATAACATATTTATTTGCTTTATCTTGAACAATACCAGTGTAATTACTAATAATTGAATTTTGAATGAAGTTTACGATTTCCAGGGCCAGGTGCAGTGGCTCATGCCTGTAATCCCAGCACACTGGGAGGCTGAGGCAGGTGGATCACGGGAGGTCAGGAGTTTGAGACCATTCTGGCCAACATGGTGAAACCCCTTCTCTACTAAAAATACAAAAATTAGTTGGGGGTGGTGGTGGGCACCTGTAATCCCAGCTACTCGGGAGGCTGAGGCAGGAGAATTGCTTGAACCCGGGAGGCAGAAGTTGCAGTGAGCTGAGATGGTGCCACTGCACTCCAGCCTGGGTGACAGAGCAAGACTCCGTCTCAAAAAAGAAAAAAAAGATTTCCTCATAGTTCTTTTCGGCCTTAGGCTATATCCCACTTGCTCAAATGATGTGTTTTAGTTACCTCCTATAATTCTCCAATGTGCCACCAACTTTGATATAGAGTCAGGTCTGTTTGGGCCAGTTTCTTTTAAAATTTTTGGGATGGCATTTGTTAAAATTTAATTAATTAATATAAAATATTTTTATAGTTCCAAAGTCAAAACTGAAAAAGAGGGTACATTCAGAGAGGTCCAATTTCTTAAAAAAATTTTTTTAAAAATTATCTTTACTTCTGACTTTATTTTTTTGAGATATGGTCTTGCTTTGTCTCCCAGGCTGGACGGCAGTGGCACAATCTCAGCTCACTGCGCACTCTGCCTTCTGAGTTCAAGTGATTCTCATTCCTCAACCTCCTGAGTAGCTGGGATCACAGGCATGTGACACTACATCAGGCTAATTTTTGTATTTTTAGTAGAGACAGGGTTTCGTCATGTTGGCCAGGTTGGTCTTGAACTCCTGGCTTCAAGTGATCCACCTGCCTCGGCCTCCCAAAATGCTGAGATTACAGGCATGAGCCACTTTGTCCAGCCAGAGAGGTCCAATTTCTGTTCATTTCCCCCTTCCCCATAAATAATCCTTTTCCCCCATAGATTTTGATTTATTCTATTATATAATTTTGAAAATATAAACATGTAATTTATAATTCTCCTTTCTTTTACGAAAAGGGACATTCTGAACACACTGTCTGCACCATACTGTGTCACAGCAGTCACTCGGTGACAGGACGTAGAGATCCTCTACTTTCCTCTTTATAGTTTTGTGCGACTCAGTTGAGTAGATGTATTAGAAATTCAGTTAGTTCTGTTTTGACGTACATTTTGGCTATTTCTACTCTTTTGCTATTACAGATTGTGCTGCAATGAATAATAGCCTTGTGTATATACTTTCTTAAGGAAGGGTTTTGAGCGTGGTAGTTACCTGATCAAATTTGTATTGCAGAGGATTTCGTGACTGGGAGACTGGCCTGGCGAGGTGGGAGGAGGAGGGAGGCAGTGCTAGGCTTTCAGGGTGTGGACAGATTGATGAAATCGTTTAGAATTGGAACTCACATGGCTGTGTTCCCACTCCTTCACCCGCACCAGGGGAGGAGTGTGTGTGCGTCCTGTGCGTGGTGGGGTCATGTCCTCTTCTTGGGGTGGATGGGGGTGATGTGACCACATCCCTCCTCACACGTCGATAGGGGAGATGATAGGAGCCTGCCCCTCCCCATGGGGGCAGTTGAGAGTGATGGAGCCCTGTTTCCCCTTCCGGAGAGGTGAAATGATGAGGCGTCCCACCCCCATGGAGTCGTGGGAATGGGGCCATGCCTCTCTCTCCAGCGCTCGCTCCCCGTCTTCCCCAGGGTGTCGCGCCTGGCGTCCGAGAAGCGGGAGCTGGAGGTGCAGCTGGGCCGATCGCGCGAGGAGGCGCTGGCCGGGCGCGCGGCGCGCCAGGAGGCCGAGGCCCTGCGCGGGCTGGTGCGCGGGTTGGAGCTGGAGCTGCGGCAGGAGCGCGGGCTCGGGCACAGGGTGGCCGGCCGTCGCGGCCAGGATTGTCGCCGTCTGGCCAAGGAGGTGAGCAGCGGGGGCCCGGGAGTGGCCAGCGAGACGTGGACCTCGGCCTCAGCCTGGGCCTCGGCCTCAGCCTGGACCTTCGCGCCCCTCTCCCCTCCCGGCAGCTCGAGGAGGCGAAGGCATCGGAGCGGAGCCTGCGCGCCCGGCTGAAGACGCTGACCAGCGAGCTGGCATTGTACAAGAGCGGGTGAGAGGCTAGGCCTGCGGTGCTCTAGGGCGGATGGGCGGGGCCTGAGAGGGGGTGGAGGTGAGGAGGCGGAGCGTGAGGGAGGCGGGGCGGGGCCAGGTAGGGTGGAGGGGGCGGGACTGAAGGGGAGGAGGGGCTTAGCGGACCCCGTCTGGAGGCCAGACAGGATTCGGGTGCGGTGGTTAGGTGGACCCGGGCTGTGCGGAGATGCGCAGGCTTGAGGCGGCGTTCAGGAGGGACTGGGAAAGGGATTGGGCCCTAGGGTCTCCTGGTGCGAAAGGGTGCGGCGCAGTAGGTTGGATCAGGGTGAGGTCTGCTGGCATTTATGGGGTGGGTGGTGGAAAATTGGGAAGGGTTTCCGGGGAGTTGTGGAAGACTCCAGAAAGAAGGGTCTGGTGAAGGGGGTGTGTTGAAAGGATGTAGGGAAATGACAGAGGGGTGTTTTAGGAGTTTGGGTGTGGTCTAGGGGGAGGATATCATGAGGGTCGTGGGCCCAGGAGTGCACGTCTAGGAGCTGATGGGGTAGGCCTGAGGGTTCGGAGGTGCGGTCGGGGAGGAGTCTCGAGATTGAGTTTGTCGGGGCGGGTGGGAAGCTGACAGCTGCCCCTGTGGTCTCAGGAGGCGGACTCCGCCGGTGCAGCCGTCCCCGGCGCGGGAGGACCGGGCCTCATCGTCCCGGGAGCGCTCCACGTCGCGGGGCCGCGGCGCCGCGCGCTCCTCATCCCGGGAGAGCGGCCGCGGAAGCCGGGGTCGGGGCCGCCCTGCGCGCCCCTCACCCTCGCCCACAGGTCTGTGCCCCTGCCCTGCGGTGGGGAGGGGACGCACTGGCGCTGCCAAGGCTCGTCGCAGGACCCAGCCGCCTCCTCTCCCACGTCGTCCTAGGTGGTCGCGCGCTCCGCTTCGACCCCACGGCCTTTGTGAAAGCCAAGGAAAGGAAGCAGAGCGAGATCAAGATGAAGTCAGTGCCCCTTCCTCCCTCACCTGCCCCTGTCCCTGGCCCTTGCCCGCTCCCGGGCGCTCATCTCTCCACGCCACCATCAGTCCCCATCTCCTTCCACCTGCTCGCTTCTCGCCGGATACCCCGCCTGCTTTGCCTGCTCCGCCTGCTGTGCCTTCCGTCCGTCCCACCTCCTCGTCTGTGTTTCTGCATGCTTTCCGCGCCTAGGCTTGTCACCTTGGGCGGTCGCCGGCGTGGCTGTGACCTTTTGGGGCGCAGCGACACCCTTGCCCGCAGGAGTTGGGCGTACAGGCCAGTGTCTCCTTTCTTTTTTCCCAGGCAGCAGCAGCGGAACCGATTAGGCAGTGGGGGAAGCGGGGACGGTCCGTCCGTCTCCTGGTCTCGCCAGACACGGGCCCCTGCTGTCGTGACTGGCCGAGGGGACGCCCCTAACCGCTCCCGAAACCGCAGCTCCTCAGGTAACCCGCCTGGAGCTCGGGGCCGCTGGGCTAGGCGGAACTGCGCGGGGGTGGGAGGCACTGGGCGGGGCCGGCGGGTCGGGCGGGGCGGGGCTGGGCGGGCTGGGAGGGCCTGGGAAGCACTGGGCGGGGCCAGCGAGGGCCAGCGCTCACGCCCTCCGTCTCCCTCTAGTGGATAGTTTCCGCAGCCGCTGCTCGTCTGCCAGCTCCTGCAGCGATTTGGAGGATTTCTCTGAGTCGCTCTCCAGAGGGTAAAACTTGGACATGGGAAAAGGATCACCTCAAAAGGGTTTCTGGAGAGACTATAAACAATCTTTTTCAGGGAAATTGGGTGATGGAGCCTGGGGGCCGCCACAAAGGTCGGGGAGGTGGGAATACTGGAGCCTCCGCACCACTGGTTCTTGGTTACTCCTTTTTCTCAGGGGTCACCGCCGCCGTGGGAAGCCTCCCGGCCCAACGCCCTGGAGTGGGTCCAATACGGTGAGTAGAAGGGGTAGCATAAACCGCTGGAACACAGCTGTCCTCATTTGCTGTGATTCCTTCCTGGGGATCGGGGCAGGGGCGACTCTGAATGCCTGTGCAACAGGGCTTTTTTGGTGTAAGAGTGGCTCTCGCTCTGTCCTTCAGGCTGGGGTGCAGTGGGGCAATTGTAGCTCACAGCAGCCTTTAACTCCTGGGCTCAAGAGACCCTCCCACCTCGGCCTACGGAGTAGCTGGGACTAGGCTTTTTTTGCGGGGGAGGGTGAGGTTGAGACAGGATTAGGGGGTAGTATTGTCTCTTTATGTTGCCCAGGCTGGTCTGGAACTCCTGGCCTCAAGCCATCCGTAGCCTCCCACAGCACTGGAGTTACAGGCTGGGCCAGCGCACCTGGCCTGGGAACAGCATGTTTTGAGAGCATTAGATTGGAGAAGGAATAATGAGGGGCCCATGATGCTCTTTAGGGCTTTGGCTTCTCACTGTCAGGTCTTGAAACCTGACTCCTCCTCTTACCAGCTGTATGATTCAAGGCAGTTCTTTAGCCTCTCTGTACCTTAGTTTTTGTTTATCAGTTAACCAGGGATGGTAATAGCATCACCTCACATGTGAGGTGAGGGCTCTCTGAGGACATTAGGAGGTTATTTTGCATATAATGAATACCCAGTAGATGTCAGGCCTTATTTTTCCCCGAGGTCCTTAGGCTCAGGATTTCCAGTGGGATTTAGGGGGACAGGAATAGAGGGACGGTGGCTGACCCCCTTTCCTACCTTCCCCATCACCAGAAGTCCACCCCCGTGCAACGCAGCCACCATCAGAAATCTCTGGCCAACTCTGGGGGCTGGGTCCCCATCAAAGGTGAGCCTGGGACTCCACATCCCCTCTCCCAGCCCCAGGACCCGTTGGAATGGTAGTAGGGGCAGTGGTATATTGGGCCCAGGAACTCCCTGGGGCTTCAGGACCCTCACAGCCCCCCATACCCCCACCTGCTCTCACAGAGTACAGCTCGGACCACCAGGCGGCTGACATGGCCGAAATAGACGCACGCCTGAAGGCCTTGCAGGAGTACATGAACCGACTGGATATGCGGTCATGATGTGGAGAAGGGGTACTGCCCCTCCATTCCCCACCCACTTGCTGGGTATGGCGTGGGGGGTGGGGCCAGGGTAGCCTCCAGCCCTGCCCAGGCCCTGCCCTGGCCCCACCCCGGCCCCGCCCCTCCTGCTGTCTCTGTGGTCTCAGGTGTGTGAGGCTCTGACCCTGCCCTCTCCCCAGGCAGTGCATGCTGGGAAAGAGGATGTGTGCATTTTGTAAATAAACATTTTTGCCCTGGGGGCCCCTCAGCTTATGACTAAAGGTTGGGGGTGGAGTGGGGAGAAATGTGGAGGAAGAGAAATTAGGGGGTATAACTGGGACCTGTGTGTGCCTCAGAGGCAGATTGGGACTCAGGCCTAGGTAAAGCTTGTACACTCTCTAAAGAGTGCAAGGGCAGACCTGGGAGGAGTAGTGAGCAGCCTGTCCCCAAAGGAGTTCAAGCAAAGATTCTGCGCAGGATGCCTTTGGCTGTGTGGTGGGAAGGGGGTGTCTTGCAGCGTGGTTCACTGCCCAGGAGGACCCCCAGGACCCCCTGTTGGTGACATCCAGGCCGCTTTGGTGCTGATTCCTGGGCTCTGACCTGAGACCTCTGGGTTCTGAGCTGTGATGTTGCTCTCGAGCTGGGATCTCCGGGGTCTTGGTTCAGGGCCGGGGCCTCTGGGTTCCAAGCACCAGTGAGGAGAGTGCTGGGAGGGAAAGGGTGGGAGGGCTTTGGTCTTGTGGGAGGGAGAGAAGGAGGGGAGGTTTGTGGTGGGACCTGCTGAGGAACACATTTTGAGCTACATCTTTATTGGAGGAGGAGGCAGTGGGGTTTTTGGCCATGAGAGGAGAGGAATGGGGGGCAGATTAGCAGGGCCTCAGTGGGAGGGGTAGTGTGGCCAATTCTGGATGAGGTTGTAGAGCTGGTCGCCTGGAGAGAGTGTACGCTGCACATCCCGGTGTCCTTTGACCACATAGTTGGACTTCAGGGCTCCCTGAGCCACGCCGCAGGCCAGTAGACCCTGGGCTGCCCGGAGGGCCCGGGGTGGGGGCACCCGATCTGGAGGAGACAGAGGTAAGAGTTAGGCAGGGGCTTCCCTGAAGGGCAGTGGTAGTGTAGGGCCCTGTGTCAGCCCCCATCCCGACTGGCTGGACAGTCACTCACCCATGTAGTTGCCCATGAAGCTGATGCCAATGGACATGGTGTTCCAGAAGCGACCTGCGTGTGCACCCGTGAAGTTCCAGCCACGGCCCTCGTATACAAGCCCATCTTCTCCAATCAGGAAGCTGCATGGGGAGGTGGGGAGGGGGGGGCTTGATGAGTGAGGGAGGGTTTCCTGAGGAGAACTCCTCCTTCTTCCTCCACTCACCCTGCCTCCGTTCCTGCCCTGGTGCACACAACTTCCCCAGCATCCTTCTCACCCCTTAATTTCCCACGATGGTAACAATGACTGTGGTCATTTATTGGGCCCCTGCCATGTGCCAAGCACAGCTCTGCATACACCTTTTTTTCATCCTCATGGCAACCCTGATCACCCCATTTTATATAGATAGAATCAGAGCGGTAGAATCACCTGCCCTGGGGTCACACAGCCCGTCTGGTGCATAGCTGGGGTTTGTACCCAGGCCTCCGTGGTCCCCACCCATGTGATCTTGTGCCTTGCTCTCTCCTGCCTCCCTAGAGGATTTGTGGAAGTCCTGTTTTACTGAATCCTTGCAGGACAGCCCTCTGAGGCAGGGACTCTTTTTTTTTTTTTGAGATGGAGTTTCACTCTTGTTGCCCAGGCTGGAGTGCAGTAGGGTGATCTCAGCTCACTGCAACCTCTGCCTCCCAGATTCAAGCGATTCTCGTGCCTCAGCCTCCTGAGTACCTGGGATTACAGGCATGAGCCACCACACCCGGCTAATTTTTGTATTATTAGTAGAGACAGGGTTTCACTATGTTGGCCAGGCTGGTCTCGAACTCCCGACCTCAGGTGATCTGCCCGCCTTGGCCTCCCAAAGTGCTGGGATTACAGGCATGAGCCACCGTGCCTGGCTGGGGCAGGGACTCTTATCATCCTCATCTTAAGCTGAGAGTGCAGAGACTCAGAAAGCGACATAATTTGTACAAGGTCCTCAGAGCTCCCTGCCTCTCAGATCTCTGCCCTCGCCCCCGCCTGCTTCCTGCCCTTGGGGTCCTCTGGGGGACAGGATCAGAGACTCAAAGTTGGGGTCACAATCACATACCGACCCCGGAGCCCCAGCACCTGCCTCTTTGAGGTTTCCAAGCCTGGCAGCAGATCCTTAAGACTGATTCATTCAGCAGGTCTGATTGAGCATGTCTGACTTGGCACATGGGGATGAACTAGAAGATCAGTGCCTTGCAGCTGCAGTATGTGCCAGCTCAGCCCTTGCACTCACAGTGTCATTAGTGATGCACAGAATGTTGGAACTTCCAAATCTCGAGTCCTGAATCTGCTGCTTAGGAAGCCAGCTCCCAGAATCTGGCCCTGGTGACGCTGGCTGCTGGGACTGGCTGGTTATGGCCCTGCCATGTTCCCAGAGCCTGGCATGATGGTGGTGGGGTCAGGGATGGTTGGTTCTCCCTGGTCATTTGTTGCATGAATGCATCTCATTTAAACCTCAGCCACCATCGCCAAGCGGGTACAGTCAAAAGCCCCCTTTACAGGTGAAGAAACGAGGCTCAGAGAGAGAACGTGACATGACATGTAAAGGGGATTCAGAATGTTAGAACCAGATTCTGAATCCTAAAAGCTGAGGGCCGGACACCGGCTGCTTCTGTATGTGGTGACGTGGACCCGAGGCTGTAGAGCCAAGCTTGGGCCTTCATGACCTCATGGGAACGCTTAGAATTGGAGCACCTGAGTCTTGGAAACAAAACGTTGAAGTTGGATTCTTTGAGAAAATCTTGAACTGGAAGGGCTGGGAATACCTTTGGAAACCTCTAGACTTCTCTGGGTGGGTTTTTTTTTTCTTTGTAACACAGCCTTACGAGGTCCTGAGAGCATGTGCTCCCTGGGTGGGGTCCATTGAAGTGGACTCTGGGGACCTGGGGATCTGGGGACCTGTGTGTTCCTCCAGTAAGCTCTGCAGGGGATTCTGATGCTACCTGGGTCTGAGAGCTTGCAGGATTCAAACGTTCCCTTCCCTTGGAAATCCTCAGGCTGGACTGCAGCCCATTATAAGGAGGAGGTAGCTGGTAGGCATGGCCCCGGACCTGCTTCAGCCGGCACCCCTTATGATCTCTTCTCCCCACGGCAGCCAGAGGGAGTCTCTTGTACCTACACTAGTCCCCGTCCCTGCTCTGCAGGGGGAAGCCTCCCAAAGCTCCCATCTTGGAGTAAAAGCTACAGTCCTCACTGTGGTCCACAAGGCCCTGCCTGGTCCGGCCCTTTCCCCATTTCATTCCGCTCCCCCGGCTGTGTTCAGCCACCCTGTCCTTCCCACGGGACCCACCCACTCAGCCCCGTTGGCTTTGCCCCCAGCACCCTCTGCCACCAGCACTCCTCTGTCAGCTCCCCGATCCCAGAGCCAAGGCAGCCACTCTCAGGGAACTTCCCTTGCCCCGCCCTTTCAAGGAGCCTGTGTGGGTCTGGTCCTGAGCCTGAGGTCACCCTCCCTCACCTCTTTCCTTTTATCCATGGCCTCTATCACCGTCTGAATTCACCTGTGGCCTGGGCTGCTTTCTCCTTGCTGGTCTTTCAGCCCCAGGAGGCTAGAGTGGCACCGTTCTCCATGCCACATCTGGCACACTGGCTGGCACATAGTAGGTGCCTAATGGCAATAGCCTGCGGCTTTGCGGGCCCCTGTGTGCCAGGCAGTTCCTAGGTGCTTTGCCTGTATTGCCTCATTTAAGGAGCAGATGGGCTGCGATCCCGTTGACTTTGCGGAGGAGGAAGCTGAAGCCGGGAGGACCTGCCCCAGCTGGGGAGGTATCTGCCCCAGGCCTCAGCCAGCAATAAGCTGAGCTGACTCTGGAACCCAGCTCCGCACTGAGTCAGCCTGCTTTTCTGCCTCCTAACAAAGGCACCAGGCATCAGGACGGGGCGCCTTCATAAGGCGCCGCAGACACCTTGGTGCGTGTTAGGCAAAGTCTGCCCCTTCCTCCGGGGAAGCGGGGCTTGGATTTCAGCCCATCCCCGGCCCTTACGCATCTTGGTGCTATGAGCACCTGCACCGGCCCACGCGGTGACCCGAGGAAGACATGAAGACCCTGTGAGGTTCAGTAAGCTGCTCGGGGTGTCAGCCAGGTGGCCCCAGCACCCGGCCTAGAACCGGTCCCGCTGGCGGGCACTTGCACACCTTTGCCTCTGGGGTCCCCGGTCCAACCCGTGCCTCCCCGCCGCACTCACTTGTAGCCCACGTCGCACCAGCCCAGTCTCTTCACGTGGTAGGACTGCACATTCTGGGTCTGCTGCTGGCACGAGGCTGGGGTGTTGCAGCTGCTGCCCGCCGTGTGCGACACCACCACATAGTGCAAGGGCAGGCTCAGGCGCTGGGTGCACTCTGACTGCAGGGCCCTCCACTCGTTCCGGGGCACTATAGGGCTGCAGCAGGCCGGGGCTTCTGTCTTCTGAGCCTCTCCGAGTCGAAGGAAGCCGAGGAGAGCCCAGGCAAGCAGCCCACAGCGGCGGGACATAGCGGCAGGCGGCAGGGGCGGGGAGACCGCTAGGAGAGCCAGGTGGCGGGGCCGCTTTTATCTGCTGGGGGATTCTGGGAGTGGCCCGGAAAGTCTTGCTTTACACCCTGCTGGGACTTCCCTGCTGGCCCAGCAGACCCCAGACTCAGCTTCCTTTCCTGGCAGGGCCAGGGCAGGATGCACTGTGGTTGGGGTCTGGGTTGCGCCCATGGCAATGACAGGCCGCCTCGCTCAGCAGGGAGGGCCGCACAGGCTTCGCCCCGCCGTTTCCGGAAGACCCGGGGCTGGGATCCCGGTCCTGCTTGTCTCTCCCCCTCTCAGTGGAACATTGAACAACTCAACAGGAACTTACATGGCAGAGCCCCGGGGCGTTGGCACATCTTCTCTCCGCAAGGACTGAGGTAACAAAGGTGTTCATTTTAAAAACACTTCCGTCTCCCAGGTCCAAGCCTGATGCCATTTACCCTTGCAGCAAACTCACGAGGTGAGTATCTGGAAGCCCATTTCACAGTGGAGGAAACTGAGGTTGGGAGCAGGTAAGTCACAGGCTGAGACGACGGAGGCACTGGAGCCCCGCGTCTAGAGCCAGGCTGCCTGTGTGTGAATCCTGGATACCCAG